ATTTTCTTAATATCTTTTAGTTTATAGTCAAAACAAAGGGCACAGTTCTGTTGGAGACTGTAGGGATATTATTTTGTTCCTCATCCTCCTTTTTTGTATAACTTTGATTGAACTTGGACTGCAGTGCTTTTCTCTAGTTCATTTTTGGTTTTCTTAAACTTTTAGAAGAAACTATGCTCACAGAACTTCCCTCTTGTTTCCATAAACAATTTTTGTTAAAAATTTGACATGCTTTCCGAGATTTCTTCTCTTTAAATGTCTTTTTATGGCCTTAATTTTATCTGACTCATCTCTTTCAGATTTTGTCTCTGTTGTCCACTCCTGACAGCATCTCCACCATGTGGAACACTGCCCAAAAGTGGGCTACAGAAAGTAGTTTTAAGAGTTCACAAGGGCTGTATTTCTCCAGGTCCTTGAGACCTCACCTGAGAACCTTCATACTCACTTACTAATGATTGGCCAAACCCCTTCCAGTTTTCAAATTGGACCATTCTTGTTCTGCTGTTCTCAAATTGGACACTACATTTCCAGTGAATACCTATTGATTATTTTGCAGCTTCTTGTTTTGGGGTCCTTTTGATGCCCCATTGTTTTCTCTGCTTTCCCCCTACGTGGGCACTGATACCTTCTAGGTGTTACAGCTATGGATGGTTTCTCCCCATCTGCTTTTATGTTGAGGTTCATAGGAATAACTGTCATAGGAATAATACTCATCATTTTTGTAAATGTTGTTCATGGGTTTTTAGTTTTGATATCCAGTTGCTCTTGGCTTCTGAACCATTTTATTCTTCTATTTCCTCCTACCTTTCTGAACCCCCTTTTCATTCTCCTTTGTGAGCACCACCTCCATACCCATGCCTTCAGTAATGTTTGTTCCCCAGTATTTTGTTTTAAGTCCCCTGTCTTCTCTTACTCTACACACTCTCCTGGGGGAATTTTCCCTGCATGCACTCTTATCTTCTCCAAGCAATAGCTTTTGAAACCAATATAAATAAAAGTCAAATGGAACATACTTTAATTATACAGAATATAGATTTTAGGGGATTGTTTGAGACATGGTTGAGACACCAAGGATGATATTAGGCTCCATATCTTAATTTTATCTTATTATAAAGTTTCAGAAGTGTCATGGATATGGCATTCTTGATTCAGTTTCACCCCAAATACCAGAATTCATGTCCATGAGGAAACTAGGCATTTTTATTTAAGAAGAAGTACCTCTATGAACCTACTGAAGGAAGATTATAGGACTCTTAAACAGAGAACAGCTGATTTATGCAGGTTTTTTCTATTGAATAAACAAGATTGTGGCTGGTTCTGCAATAAAATGAACCGAGATAATGCACAGGAAACAATATTTATTCTGTTCCTTGGTGCAATAGATAATGTAAAAATACAATGGCTGGTTGTTGGTTTATTATATAATTATGGTAAATTATGTTCCTAGATTTTTCCTAGGATCTCTCCTAATCAATGCCTGGCAAATAAATTTAAGATAAATTTAAGATTACATCCAAAAGGTTTAATTTGTATGATTTATTTCTATTTTCCAAGTAGTGGGAAAATAATCTCTAAATAAATTTCTACTGCAAATAATTTAGCCAAGATTAGGATCATTAGGTAAATTTTTAAGTAATTCTGAAAACACACCTTGATTCCTTACCTGGGAAAGCAATTCAGTAGGACTTTAGTTCTGCAGTGGTAACAGGCTGCCATTGAAATGAAGGGACTTTGTTTATTTAACATAGAAGAATTACCAAGAAAGAATTTGGAAAATCACAGTGCAAAATTTTGCCTTTCAAGTATTTGTATATTGATTTAGGGGATTAACTTAATTTAACTCCCAGAACAAATACTGTTATTTGGGTTAGAGATAAATCTAATTGTTGATACTGTTATAAGTTTATTTTCATCATTTGTAGATATCTAGTAAAATAACCAAAGCACAGTGGACATGCAGTGAAGAATCTTATGCTCCTTAACTACCTTACCTCTCATCAGCTCGTCAAATAGCTAGCTAATTGGTGTCAGTCTTAATATTTTTCTCCTACTTCTTTTCCTTCCTAATGAACTATCATATACAAAACATTATAGTTATTCTGTTCATACCCTACTTGTATACTTAATAGTGGTCCAAGATGTTCAATGAAAATACAGAAGTCAGGATCATGGAAGGCAAATTCAAGAGAGATGACTAAAAAGAATGAAAACACAATGTACAAAGATACACAAAGGATTAATGGAAACAAATACTGGATGATGAAGCACTTTGGGGCTAGCAAAGGTGGGAAGTCATTAACACTATTAGAAGGTAACACTAGGAGATAGAAGAAACAGTTCCTAGAAAAAACAGCGGCCAACTCCTGGAAAGAGTGCTGTACCTGATGAAATGGGAAATTGGCCAAACCTAAGAAAGTAGCTATTTCCAAACCACATCAGTAGGAAGATGATAGGGGATAAATCTTCTAATGACTCTCTTCCAACCTTCTGGTCACCTGTGAATGAATCCAGGAAAGACAATATGGCCATTTTGTATGTGAATCATTGGTACTAATTTTTATTTAAATTAATTGAAAACTTTAGGCAGTAGAGGATATACTATACAATAAAAGTATACCTGGAAGTTAATAAACACTTGGAAAATATTTGCTGAATAAATATAACTTAGAATGGACTGCAAGCATTACACTGAAGTTAGGTGACTAAGATCAAGTCTAGAACTAATTCTTATTTAAATTCCTAGGAAGGCAATATCTACTACAGTAAGCTCTTGGTGAAGGTTTATGAATTAAATAGATAAATGAATACATGGATGTGTGGATGGACACATGAATTTATAGGTGACCCAGAAAAGTTTACAGACATAAAGAACCTTAAATGTAATCTAGTCTACTCCCTTCATTTTGCAGATGAAGAAATAGAGTTTCAAGTTGTTTAAAAACATAATAAAGAATTAGAACCCGAATATCATGACTCTAGGCTCTCCCATGTTATCCCTCATTAACCATTTAAAATTTGCTACATTCAAACCAATTACTGATGAAAAAAAAAAGAGCAAGAATCACCTCACAAATCATGATCCACAATCCATGACATATGCTTGCACATTGGGCAAGTAGCATGCATCCACAGAAAGTACTTGAGAATTTAGGTCGCTAGAACTAATGGCACTTAAAATTTTTCATTATTCAATTTAAAAATAAATACATTTGCCTTAATATCACTATTCAATTAAATCTTCATCTTATTTTTTATGAAGGTACAGTAAGAATAAGCTTAACCAATGCCAAATTTGCAAGTACATTTCTTTATCATTCTCCCAAACATAGTCACCAATTTCCATTATAGAAACCCTTAAAGTTCTGACTGACAAAACACCAAGTATTAATTTCTCACTCCTAATCAACATTAATGTTTTTAGTTCCTTACTCACATAAGAAACCCTGCCTCAAAAAAAGTTGAAACCCTTCTTAATGATACTGGGACTTAAGTTTGACAGTTTTCCACATGTGCTCTGAAGATTATTTTATTCTATCAGGATGTTAATATTATCTATATTTAATTATTTTTATTTAAACATTCAAAACTTTGAATGCAGATATTGTTTGGCACCATTACTTTTTTCCTTCACTTTAGGGACTTAGATACAAGGCATAAAATTTACCTTCATGACATTAAACATGATCTGTATAAAATAATTAAAAGTTGTTTCTTGAGGCCAGAAGCTATGCTTGCAATATACCTGGATTTGATTTTTTAAGAGAAAATTCCAGAAAGATCAAATTACTTCTCCAAGGTCACAACTTGTTTCTGGCAGATAGAACTAGAATAAAATGTTTCTTTTTCCTTAAAAGTATGTTCATACCTAGCATATGAATATGTTTTGGAGTATAAGCACTTTTCAAACCTTGGAAACCACATTTAAGTAAAATCCCCCTTAACGGAATCTTTGGAGTCGAAACTAAGTAAATGCGGAAGCGTGTTGTTGCAGGTAAGGAGTTTGGAGAGTTGGCTGAAGGATCCCAGCCCGTCTCAGACACGGATGTGTACCACGTAGTGGCACCTGTTCTCTATGGACTAAATAGGAAGTGGACAATTTGGGGTTCAGAGCTTTGGTTCCAGGACAGCAGAATCTCCCCGTCAGTGCCTATTTAGGCGGCCAGGTCTGGGAATATGCCAGAGCTGTAGGGACCCACCATCCACCTCATGCTTCCCAGAACGGTCCTGGTCGGCCTCGCAGAGGACAAGAACTCTATACGCGGTGCCCCGCCCCAGCTATTCATCCACCATCTCTCTCACGCACATTTAGGAATGGGGGAAGAGGATGGTTGCTAGGTGGAAGACAGTAGCCAATCCCATTATGTCCAATTTTGCTGTATTGCAGGCTTTTTTTTTTCTTAACTATCAACATTATTTGTGACCATCAGCTCAATAATATGAGTCAAGAATATACCCACATAATGACCTGCAATACGTAGCAGTAATTTAAAGGCATTCTGTATCAACTAGCATGGGGTGAAAGTTTATGGACACAAAAAACCAGTATAACAGCAGATACACCGGTCGGTGTTGCCACTTGCCCTGGCCTTCTGTTTTTCAGCATAAATTGGCAAAGGAAAGAAAACAACTTGTCAGACCTGAATTACAGCCAGTAATCTCAGTCTCCAAATCCAGCCAACCACCTCAGAGGAGAATGACTTTGGAAGGGGAGTGGACAGGGAGGCAGCCAGTGAGGCGGAGATTCAGAAATTCAAGACTCCCAAGCGGGCAGGCGCGCGCTCGCGCATGTTTCTGCGCTAGGTGACACAAGGGACCCAAATTCTGCACGGACTGAGGCGGAGCGGGGCAGGGAGGGACCCTGTGATCTCGCTTCTATGGCTGCCTTGGGGCCGGGAAACTGCGGATCCCGATGTGCCACAGTCCGCCGCCAGAGGGGGAACACTCCGCCACACGACCGGGCTCGAGAGGGACTGAGGAAGAGAAAGGCGCCGCTGCCTTACCTCCAGGTAGTACAAGTCCATGGTCGTGATCTGCGAGTCGAGGAAGTCTTCATAGGTGTTGAACTGAGTAACTATACTGTCCACGGCCGTCAACGCCTCTTCCTGATCCATTGCAGCTGTCTTGGCCGAGCGTCCCTAGCGACAGACGCACGAGGGCAGGGTCAGGAGGCTCCACCCACTTCGTTCCTTCCAATCAGTTGGGAACCGCTGCGCAGCTTCCGACGTTAATACCGCCCCCAGGTTTTGCCATTTGGCTTCCCGCGTCCACGAAACCCCTGGGATGCCCGTCTCAAATTACCAGCTCCCAAGTTCTGGTCCGACTCTAGTCAGTAACTGACTCAGATCCTGGTGAAATGTGCAGTCAAGTGAGAAATGAAAAATGCAATGTGAAATTAAAAATTATGAGACTGCCGGGATATTGAAGACATAGGTCCTCGCTCCTAATCTCACAACAAAGCAGTGTTGTGCAGGACCAAATTAAAGTAGGTTAGCGCTCGGGTAACCGAAGGGCCATTTTTGCAAGAAAATTGTCTCAAAATAGAGGACTCTGGAGTGGGTCTTGTGACCAAAGCCAATAACAAAATACACTAATGATTTTCTTAAATTATTTGAAAAAGTATAATTTAAAGGTAGATTATTGCTAATGTATATGAGAAAAAATTTATGAATATCCAAGAGGAAAGATACTCAAGGGAACTATGAAGATTTTTTTCGGCCCCAATAGCTTGTCTTTTTAAACTTTTTTCTTTCATTCAAGTTTCAAAAGCACACACTGGAAGTTTGCCTGGCTGAAGCTACATATTTTAAAAGGTAGAATATCTGCTGAAACTTAAAAAGTAAAGCTTTTTACTAAAGACATTTTCTTTAGAACGAAGTTTTGCATTTTTTAAACCTGAATTTCAAGTAATCCAGCATGGCAGCTGGGAAAACTTTTCAGAATCCATTTTTGAATTTTAATATTCTGCAAATCATTCTTGGGAATGAACACATAGTACAAGGCTGGCTGTATGGTAGTTGCTCTCCAGGTATTTAGTGAATTGATTTTTAAGATCTTCACAAATGTGCTGAAAAAAATCATTTAATGAAAAACAATTGGTAAAATACTTGACTTTCAATTAGCTTTCCCAATTTAAGGAAGTCATCTCAAAAATTAGGATGTCACAAATGTACAAATTTTAAGTGACATAGACATAACATCTGGATATAATTGACCCAGTTTTTAATATATTCTGAAATATTTTAAAAGGCATTTTAGACATTTTTAAATGTCATTTAATCATTGAATTCTGGAGAATAGAAAAAAGAATAGAGAAACCCAGGACACTGATAATACAACAACAAAAATAACATTTATTGAATGTTCCCTGCATGCCAAGCATTATCCTAAGTGCCAACAATGGATTATATCCTTAACTAGTATTTGTATTAAACTTAGCAGCCACCAATTTGATATCATCTAATATCTTAAAAGATAACAAAAATTCAGAGTCCAAGAAGGAGGAGAAATCCATGTAACTTAAGACTTCTAACTGATAAAGGACGTAGGTCTCAGTATTCTCTATTATCTAAGCCCTTCTGAAAGAAACATTGTTCTGGGAAAATTGAGCACAAGGAAAGGCTTAGAAAAGTTTTTAGCCACTTTCTATGTATAGAAAATTGAAGTATTTGCTCTAGTACAATAGTATTACTAAAACTTTACTAAAACTGTCCTAAATACTTTACATTCGTTATCTTGTTTAGTTACCATGACAGATCCACTAAGGAAGTAGTATTGGCATTATTCCCAATATAGAGACAAAAATGAGTCTAAATAGATTGGCCAAAGTCTATCTTCATCTTATTTTTTATGAAGGTACAGTAAGAATAAGCTTAACCAATGCCAAATTTGCAAGTACATTTCTTTATCATTCTCCCAAACATAGTCACCAATTTCCATTATAGAGACCCTTAAAGTTCTGACTGACAAAACACCAAGTATTAATTTCTCACTCCTAATCAACATTAATGTTTTTAGTTCCTTACTCACATAAGAAACCCTGCCTCAAAAAAAGTTGAAACCCTTCTTAATGATACTGGGACTTAAGTTTGACAGTTTTCCACATGTGCTCTGAAGATTATTTTATTCTATCAGGATGTTAATATTATCTATATTTAATTATTTTTATTTAAACATTCAAAACTTTGAATGCAGATATTGTTTGGCACCATTACTTTTTTCCTTCACTTTAGGGACTTAGATACAAGGCATAAAATTTACCTTCATGACATTAAACATGATCTGTATAAAATAATTAAAAGTTGTTTCTTGAGGCCAGAAGCTATGCTTGCAATATACCTGGATTTGATTTTTTAAGAGAAAATTCCAGAAAGATCAAATTACTTCTCCAAGGTCACAACTTGTTTCTGGCAGATAGAACTAGAATAAAATGTTTCTTTTTCCTTAAAAGTATGTTCATACCTAGCATATGAATATGTTTTGGAGTATAAGCACTTTTCAAACCTTGGAAACCACATTTAAGTAAAATCCCCCTTAACGGAATCTTTGGAGTCGAAACTAAGTAAATGCGGAAGCGTGTTGTTGCAGGTAAGGAGTTTGGAGAGTTGGCTGAAGGATCCCAGCCCGTCTCAGACACGGATGTGTACCACGTAGTGGCACCTGTTCTCTATGGACTAAATAGGAAGTGGACAATTTGGGGTTCAGAGCTTTGGTTCCAGGACAGCAGAATCTCCCCGTCAGTGCCTATTTAGGCGGCCAGGTCTGGGAATATGCCAGAGCTGTAGGGACCCACCATCCACCTCATGCTTCCCAGAACGGTCCTGGTCGGCCTCGCAGAGGACAAGAACTCTATACGCGGTGCCCCGCCCCAGCTATTCATCCACCATCTCTCTCACGCACATTTAGGAATGGGGGAAGAGGATGGTTGCTAGGTGGAAGACAGTAGCCAATCCCATTATGTCCAATTTTGCTGTATTGCAGGCTTTTTTTTTTCTTAACTATCAACATTATTTGTGACCATCAGCTCAATAATATGAGTCAAGAATATACCCACATAATGACCTGCAATACGTAGCAGTAATTTAAAGGCATTCTGTATCAACTAGCATGGGGTGAAAGTTTATGGACACAAAAAACCAGTATAACAGCAGATACACCGGTCGGTGTTGCCACTTGCCCTGGCCTTCTGTTTTTCAGCATAAATTGGCAAAGGAAAGAAAACAACTTGTCAGACCTGAATTACAGCCAGTAATCTCAGTCTCCAAATCCAGCCAACCACCTCAGAGGAGAATGACTTTGGAAGGGGAGTGGACAGGGAGGCAGCCAGTGAGGCGGAGATTCAGAAATTCAAGACTCCCAAGCGGGCAGGCGCGCGCTCGCGCATGTTTCTGCGCTAGGTGACACAAGGGACCCAAATTCTGCACGGACTGAGGCGGAGCGGGGCAGGGAGGGACCCTGTGATCTCGCTTCTATGGCTGCCTTGGGGCCGGGAAACTGCGGATCCCGATGTGCCACAGTCCGCCGCCAGAGGGGGAACACTCCGCCCCACGACCGGGCTCGAGAGGGACTGAGGAAGAGAAAGGCGCCGCTGCCTTACCTCCAGGTAGTACAAGTCCATGGTCGTGATCTGCGAGTCGAGGAAGTCTTCATAGGTGTTGAACTGAGTAACTATACTGTCCACGGCCGTCAACGCCTCTTCCTGATCCATTGCAGCTGTCTTGGCCGAGCGTCCCTAGCGACAGACGCACGAGGGCAGGGTCAGGAGGCTCCACCCACTTCGTTCCTTCCAATCAGTTGGGAACCGCTGCGCAGCTTCCGACGTTAATACCGCCCCCAGGTTTTGCCATTTGGCTTCCCGCGTCCACGAAACCCCTGGGATGCCCGTCTCAAATTACCAGCTCCCAAGTTCTGGTCCGACTCTAGTCAGTAACTGACTCAGATCCTGGTGAAATGTGCAGTCAAGTGAGAAATGAAAACTGCAATGTGAAATTAAAAATTATGAGACTGCCGGGATATTGAAGACATAGGTCCTCGCTCCTAATCTCACAACAAAGCAGTGTTGTGCAGGACCAAATTAAAGTAGGTTAGCGCTCGGGTAACCGAAGGGCCATTTTTGCAAGAAAATTGTCTCAAAATAGAGGACTCTGGAGTGGGTCTTGTGACCAAAGCCAATAACAAAATACACTAATGATTTTCTTAAATTATTTGAAAAAGTATAATTTAAAGGTAGATTATTGCTAATGTATATGAGAAAAAATTTATGAATATCCAAGAGGAAAGATACTCAAGGGAACTATGAAGATTTTTTTCGGCCCCAATAGCTTGTCTTTTTAAACTTTTTTCTTTCATTCAAGTTTCAAAAGCACACACTGGAAGTTTGCCTGGCTGAAGCTACATATTTTAAAAGGTAGAATATCTGCTGAAACTTAAAAAGTAAAGCTTTTTACTAAAGACATTTTCTTTAGAACGAAGTTTTGCATTTTTTAAACCTGAATTTCAAGTAATCCAGCATGGCAGCTGGGAAAACTTTTCAGAATCCATTTTTGAATTTTAATATTCTGCAAATCATTCTTGGGAATGAACACATAGTACAAGGCTGGCTGTATGGTAGTTGCTCTCCAGGTATTTAGTGAATTGATTTTTAAGATCTTCACAAATGTGCTGAAAAAAATCATTTAATGAAAAACAATTGGTAAAATACTTGACTTTCAATTAGCTTTCCCAATTTAAGGGAGTCATCTCAAAAATTAGGATGTCACAAATGTACAAATTTTAAGTGACATAGACATAACATCTGGATATAATTGACCCAGTTTTTAATATATTCTGAAATATTTTAAAAGGCATTTTAGACATTTTTAAATGTCATTTAATCATTGAATTCTGGAGAATAGAAAAAAGAATAGAGAAACCCAGGACACTGATAATACAACAACAAAAATAACATTTATTGAATGTTCCCTGCATGCCAAGCATTATCCTAAGTGCCAACAATGGATTATATCCTTAACTAGTATTTGTATTAAACTTAGCAGCCACCAATTTGATATCATCTAATATCTTAAAAGATAACAAAAATTCAGAGTCCAAGAAGGAGGAGAAATCCATGTAACTTAAGACTTCTAACTGATAAAGGACGTAGGTCTCAGTATTCTCT